CCCCCCACACACACACACCTCCACCCCCCTCCCTTTCTTTGGTAAGAATTTGCCGCAAATCGCTATGTCAAACAGCTTGGGTAACTTCATTATTGATGCAATGAACATTCCTAAAGGAAGAAAGGAACGGACGAAAGAAACGTTTGAGAAACAAAATAAAGGAAGAAAGCAATTCAAAAGAAAATGAACTTAATGCAGAACATTTAAGTAAAGAACTGGTATACTAGGACGAGCTCTAACGAGAATATTTTCTAAAGGCCACCTTTCAATCCTTGACCAAGACACTGATCCTAAGACTGACAAGTGCCAACAATAGGTAAATTAAACATGCAGATACAACATCAACTAATATCGGTCATTTCTATAGTAAAATAAAGATGAAATCAATTCTAGTAACTACATAAATATCAACTACAGAGTAAATGTACCCAGAATGATTACCTTGCTGAAGAAACCCTTAAAGAGTTTCTCCTCCTCCTCTCCAATTCAAGCAAGGACTGCCTTCCTCTCATCATCAACAGCACTGGTAAATTCCTTCACTAAAGCCTGACTAGTGCCACGTCTTTCATTAACGAAAATAACAAGTTATTTACATCTCGACGGCTCGACCGCTATCATAGTCTTCACCAGCTTTGCTGTCCATATCTGAAAAGTCAAGCAAGTTAAGTTTAACTTTTGTCCTCTAACTTTAACACGACAACTTATAGTTACAAGCAGTTGCAGTTTAAAAGTTACACGCAGGACGTACAATTTTAAGAGCTATAAGCTAGTTACTCCTAATCTTGTTTCATACGCAGTCAATGAGTAGAGGGGAGACCTTATTATCATTTTTCCAAGCAATTTAAATGATGTAAATTGTATGTGAGTAATTTGTGTGTGTATGCCTTTATATTGTGATCTGAAATCCGAATGATGAAAAAGAAGTAAGATTCACTGGATATGCTTGTAAATCAAGGATAGCTACAATATTTGGAAAAAGAGAGAAAGAGCTTATTTAGCTCAGAATATTATGAGATCATGCAATAAAAGAACATGTCCCGCGAACCAGAAACTAAAACAAATAGATTTGATACTGTTGGAAAAAGAAATTCACAAGTTGCGAATCATGGACGAAAGAGAAATCAATATTATGAGATGAATAGCCAAATGTTAGTTCTGCTCACATAATGATCGACATAATTCAATATAATCGTAAACAAACTCTAGGTTCCGCAACTATGACTTGTGCCTTTCCAAATAACTTCTTAGCCAAATTCTTGTAATTATCCGCATCAAGGTTAGCTATTACAACATCCTCTTCCAGTTTAAAGCATTGGATACCTTCGAAAGGTCTACAAAAAAATTTCCAGATCAGTAAAAACTAACAGAAGATGAAAGTTTTCATGTGCAGCTAGAAGCAATCAAGCTGAAGTCTTGTAACAAATATTAGCCTACTTACTGAGCAAGATTTTTGCAATGACCACACCTGTAGGAATAATAATACATCATCTTGAAATAAGGTCACCAGGAATAAGAAAGGAAGATATATAAGAGGGTATCAATAGAAATCAACTAACCATAGTGCATACAAGTTCACAAGTCTTTATTTCCATCAAGTACAACCTGATCAATAGTCTCTGATGTCAATGGCACAACACTGGACGGGCTGTTGCCAACTTTACACTAGTCCCTATATCCATACATACAATCAATTAGAGCATGGCAAAGCATGCCAAATTATATAATCCACCAAACAATTCTCCAAAATATAATCCACCAAACAATTCTTACTCAGAAGCAAAGTATAAACCTAATGATACTTAAATTGTCAAAAAAAATTAATAAACCAAATCATAACTTCCTACTCAGAAAAGAAAAGCGGCAAGTTGGAGAAAGAATCATATATTTTCATGCCAATCAAACCTGACATGACAAAAGAAGAATATATAGAGGGATGTAATGAACAAAAATGTAAGTAAATCCAATACTTTCTCATCATTATGAACTTCTTTTTTGTCTCTCTTGCTCTACATGATGGCATTTGAATAAGCAATTCCAAAGCTTTGATCCATACAATGAAAGGATATTCACACGAAGTCATTGACTTCTGCCGGACTTCTGCATTTCAAGATGCATTTATCAAACAAAAACAGCAATCTATCAGTCAAAATTGATACAATATTTTCTGCTTCCAATAGGTTAATGCAATCTTTATCGAATGAGTGCATCAATTCTGATTTTTTTAGTTAGAAATTATTATTTTGATGTACTTCAGTCTGCATGCTTGCATTAGGTCAGACCTCCAAAGAAGTAATTTTCTAGAAACATCTTTTAAAGACTTAAGGAAAGGTTTTCAAGAGGTACACTCGTATAAATATAGACAGTCAGCACAATATGAACTAGAGGAGAAAAAGATTAGGGAATGATAAAATGACATGTATATACCGTGAGACAGACTAGCTGTCACGAGATATGAAATTTCTAGAATATATTTTACAAAAAATTCTTCCAGAAATAGAAAGACATGAAATTTCAGAGAAAAAAAAGTGCACATAAATCATTATTTAGAACCAATAGCAACAAGTGTGCCACACAGTTTTAAAAATATCAGCATTACAAGAATTCCATACAACAAAGAAAGTGCTTGAAAAGTAGAAACATATTTGTGCCAAGCAACATAACAAATGATTTTAACAAGTTCGGATTTTCTGAAATAAAAAAGAGAATGGTTTTTCATTAACTTAAAAAGCAATTTGCTAATCCAGTAGGCAGCAAAATTTTCTCCAAGAAATAAACTAACTCATCACTGATGATTACTTTCTGTCAGCAGTACATACTTACCAAGATTCAAACTGAGCATGGGAGGACGAAATGTCAGGAAAAATGAAGCTCAACAACAAAAAAAGTTCACGCAAATTGTCTTGCATCAGGGTCTCAGTGAAAAGAAGCTTATTTTCAATTGAAAAGCAATTTAATTCCCTTAAAAAGAGGTGGTGCATATTTTCAAGCAATGACTCTATGAAAAAAGGGACAATTGAGAGACGGACAGAATACCGATTTTTATCATTTGAGGGACTAATTTCAGTGTACCAAAGATTTAAGGGACTAATATTAAAAATAACATTCTGAAACTGAGTTGCAGGGTAATATTTCAGTTGGGTGAGGTTGGGTGGGAAATAGGAGATTTCAGTGGGAAGCATATGTTTTTTTATTAGTGAGGTCACCTAGTGCCATGACTTTTTGATTGATGGGTGTTAAATGAAGTTGGATGCTTGTCCTCCTTGATCAAAGTGGTGTCACATGACACTACTTCGATTAAGGTAAGTCCGCCGATGTGAATTAGCACCCAAAAATTATATTTTCCTCATATTAGACCTTAACTTTTAATTTATATTTATATTAAGCCCTTAAATCTAATTTAAATGAGTTTTAGACTTTTACCATGGTAAAGCCTAAACAAAATAACCTAAAGGCCTTAGTTCTGAATAAATAATTTAAGGCCGAATTTAATCTTTTTGTATGGGCCAGAATTCTTTTCGGAGACTGTAGGCCGAGTGACCAACATTGTCTTAGTGAATGAGTATGTGAATTCTGATTCTTTTAATTAGAAATGATTATTTTGATCTACTTTAGTCTACTTGCTTGCATTCAGTTAGAACTCCAAAAAAGTAGCTCTTGACACGTGCAAGACATCTGACTGAAGGACTGTATTGCACGTGTATGAGTGCAGTTGTGGATATGAGAGACGACAAATTTATAAAATGTAAAATTCAGGGGCATTGCTATAAATATGCATATCAAAATTAGTAATTCATATGGGATCAATATTGCTTTTTATTCACATGTTATACGAAAAGCCCTATAACATTTTAATGTTTCTTTTATTGAATAGACTATAAATTAAAAATATGCTCGTATTTTTAACTAAATACCAAACTACAATTTAGAATCATACTTATGAATTGGGTATGAGTTAAAACAATTTTGAGTCGAGTTGAAAGAGTTGCAAAAATTTGTGGTGATGGGTAAGATATATATCCAAGAAGTGTACCATGAGTGTTTAAAAGTGAAACATGTATTATATAATTAAGTATACATCCAAATAAATGTATGTGTGTATTCGAGACATGTCCAAGGAGTGTTGGACACAGACGTGGGAGGTGTTGGAGATAGATCGAGCCAAAATGAAGTGTCCCAATAACCTAGCTAAAGAACAATGGAAATGGAAGAAATATATCTGACAAATGATGTTAGAGTAACTCTTAATACAAACTCTAAATTGCAGATAAGATGCTATATAAAACTTCACAAGTATATGTGAGCTTACAGTTCGCTGTTAATTGACCAGCTTAGCAATTGCAAATGAATTCATCAGGAATTCAAAAAGCTGAGCTTCAAGTTTCGTTTTTTCCATGTTAAAATATACTAAAATATATTAGGAATCTTGACCCTAAGATTAGTTTATTTTAATGATAACAAATATTATATGTTATGTGTATTATATGCTAACATTTGTTTTGCAGTATCAGAGCTATATCAACAATTATATTCAAAAAGATACTCAAGACATAGATGAGTTCAAGGTAAAATGAAGCAAAGAAGAAGATATACTTTATTGTCAAAATATAATTTTATATTTTCTTTGCTTAGAAATTTGTACAAGCCTTGATCACTCACACACATGCACACACATAGTGTTAGAACACACTAACACATGATTAGTGTGTTGGTTAACAATAGAAATCCCCTATGTTAGTCATTAGAGTTTATAGATATTGAGTGAGTCTTAAAACATTTTATTTATACCCCTTATCAATTAGAATATGGAAAAACTCAAAAAATAAAAGTTGTAGGTCTCTTCAAGAGCTTTCCAATAAATCTTAAATCACCTCATTCCGTTATAAGATGAGAAAGTTATAGTCAAAATACTGAAAAGAAAATTCCAAAATCTGTGAGTTTACAGTGTAGTCGACTACTATGCCTTGTAGTCGACTACTAAAAGAAAATTCCAAAATCTGTGAGTTTACAGTGTAGTCGACTACTATGCCTTGTAGTCGACTACTAAGTAATTTTCTGACTTCACAGAGTCTGTTTAGACTCAGTGTAGTCGACTACTATGACTTGTAGTCGACTACAGATGCAGTTTTTCCAAATTTCAGGTTTTGAATAAGTGATTGTTTATAGCCGTTTTGTGTACGTTTTTAGGGTTGAAAACTTATCTTTTCAAGGGCTATAAATAGGTTATAAGTTCAGAAATTTGCACAACTAATTCATACACATAAGATCAAACATTTGTGCATATTCACTCTCTAGTTTTCCAGATTTTCATGCTAAGTGTTTAGAAAAAGAGAGTTTCTGATATTGCCTTGGTTTCAATCATTCTTAGAGATTGTATAGGTAATATTCAGAGAGTTAAAAGAATCCTAAGCCACTGCTGCACTTCACTACATATTCAAGGCTTATAGGATCAATTGTGTTCTTGCTTCAAAAAGGATTTCTCTCGGGTTTGAGAGGGTTGATCTCTTGGTTTAGAGATTGGGTGGCAATTGACATGATCTTGTCAATTGATGTTGCAATTTGCAGGGATTTGCAAATTGGTCAGATTTGCTTTTGATTTTGTAAGTTTATTCAAAATCATAGTGGAAACTCTCAAGCAGGATTTGCTTGGGGACTGGATGTACACCGGGTTGGTGGAACCAGTATAAAACTTTGTGTTTATGATTGTGAATTTCTGAGATTGTCATTTTTCTTTGCAATTTATAATCTACTTTGTATATATTTTAAAAGAACACTATTCACCCCCATTCTAGTGTTCTAGTGTATCTATTTCAGATCCTACATTTGGTATCAGAGCAAGGTGAAATATGACATCAATAAATACATCACAATTCAAAGAAGATCACTCTACAAATCGTCCACCAATTTTCGATGGATTGAACCAGTGTTATTGAGGCGCGCGCCCCGGGCGCGGGGCGCTTCAGCCTGGGCGAAATGCGCCCCGCACGCGAGGTGGGGCGCTGCATGCAGCGAGGCGCGCGCCTCGCTCGCGCCTCGCGTGCGCCTCACGTGCGCCTCGTACCTGTGTTATATAACATACTCTTTCTTCTATTTTTTTAAAATAATTTACATAATTACATATTTATATCATGTAATATACTCTTTCTTACTAGTTGCTAATCTATTTTCATCTTTTCATGTTTAACCTATAAAAAGAACACAATAATTAGTAATTTAGTATACTTATTTGCTAATTGTAACTTCCTTCTCTAATTAGCATGCTAATAGCAAATTATAAACATGTAAATATGTAATTATTACATTCATTCTTCATCTTTTCAAGCTAAGTAGCAAATATCAATTAAGAATACTAACTAGAAAATTATAAACAGTCATGTTTGTTAATTATATTTCTTAGTCTTTTTATGTGACAATTTATAAACATATGTACATAATTGTTAATCACTTAATTTGATGATTTAAATACATGTTTCTTGTATCTTTTTTGTTACTTTAAAAATTCAATTAACATAATTGATGATTTAAGTTGATATTCTCATAATTTTGGATGTAGGTAACTAATATGTTGCGTATATGTTTCTGTCTTATGATGTTGGTAAATATTAATTTGAGTTATGCGCCTCGGTTAGTGAGGTGCGCGTCTTGTTGTGCGCCTTGCGCATGGTGCGCGTAAGGGACTTTTGCACCCCGCATTGCGCCTTGCGTCTCGATAACACTGGATTGAACTACAACTATTGAAAGTGCCGAATGAAGATTTACCTTCAATCAATTGACTATAAACTTTGGAGGATTGTGGAAACAAAATATGAGAAGCCAACCACTCCTTTCACGGAATGGACTACATCTCAAAGGAACAATGCAAACTAGGATTCTAAAGCAATGAATGTCTTATTTTGTGCTCTTGATAATAATGAGTTCAATAGAGTGTCAACGGCCACATCCGCATATGATATTTGACACACACTCGAGGTAACTTATGAAGGTACAAGTAATGTTAAAGATACTAATAATAATTTCATTTGTTATGGTTGCAATAAGCCAGGACATATAAAGAATAATTGTCACCTTCTAAAATCAATGTCAAAGTCTATAAAATTCAACAAGAAAAGGAAGGCTTTGGCGGCTACATGGGATGATAGTGATGATTCATCTTCGGATGAAGAAATCAAAGAAAAGGAAAACGCTCATATGTGTTTTATGACACAAGATGAAGTAAGTGACAATGAAGAGCTCTTAGATGCTTTCAATGAATTATATGAAATATTTTTGAGATTAAAGGCTTCACATAATTTTCTTAAAGGTGAAAATAAAAGATTATTTGAAGAAATTTCTAATTTTAATTCTTCTACTATTTCTTATTCTCAAGTAATTGAATTAAAAGAGGAAAATAAATCATTGCTTAAAGAAAATCATATTTTGACTAATGAGAATGTTTATCTAAAATCAGAATGCAATGATTTAAAAATCCGCATTAATGTTTTAGATAAAGATATTTCTTCTATTAAATTAAAATATGATGATATATGTTTGAATGTTAGTAAATTCAATAAAAGTAAAGAGAATTTGAATAATTTGCTCTCATTTTAAAAATTTTCAAACAATCATTTTGGCATTGGATTTGTTCCTAAGTATTTTACAAAGAATGATTATGTTTTGAAGAATAATAATAAGAATATTCATGCTAAACAAAATAAGTATATATGGATTCCTAAGAATTTGAATATTCATGATAGGAATAATTATATTTCATCTTATATGGATGAAGTTTGCAATTCAAAGATTTACACTTATGTTAATAAATGGAAACCAAATTCCAAGTGGATTTGGATTCCTAAAGGATAATCCTAATGATATAATATAAAATGGTACCAAAATGCTTAATATTTTTATTAAGGTACCCGGTAAGAGAAAAATTTAACTAGAATTATGTTTATTTCTTTTTGTTAATGACAAAGGGGGAGTTATATAGAAAATTTTAAATTTTTTTACTAATGCTTTGATGTAGGGGGAGTAAAATATTTTATTTAATGATTTTATGCAGGGGGATTAAAATTTTTATATCTTAATAACATATATTTGTCATCATCAAAAAGGGGGAGAATGTTAGGAATCTTGACCCCAAGATTAGTTTATTTTGATGATAACAAATATTATATGTTATGTGTATTATATGCTAACATTTGTTTTGCAGTATCAGAGCTATATCAACAATTATATTCAAAGAGATACTCAAGACATAGATGAGTTTAAGGCTATATTTCTTGCCAACATGAAATCCCACCCAGACTTGCCAAAAGGCAAAAACTGTATGCGATGTAAGCTGAATGCCTAAGACTACAATAGTCCTAAAACTAAATCAATCCCACTTCATGTATCAGGAGTGAAATATGAAGCAAAAAGATTTAAGGATATAGCATTACCTCCTCCTGTACCTATGAACACCGTGAGAACTTCTGCAGTACGTGGACGTACATACCTATATGATCAACACAACCAATATTTATCCAAGATTGCTATATGTGACTGTAAAAGGACGTCTTGGATGAAACATACCACATGGCATAAGCAATTATGAAACAAATAAATAAAGTTCTTAATATGAACTCACTTTTTTTAGTTCAATGAGCCATTCGGAAGCCAATTGATAGTGGAGTTACCCTTAACATCACATTTGCCGCATCAGTCCATACCCTCGTCCCAGTTTACCTTCATCAACCAGAAAGATTACAGCATATTAACCTCCTGATACTTACTAAAGAGTAACAAGAAAAGATGTTAGCTAACTGATCGATACAAATTTTAGCCTTTTGAAACTTGAACTTAGTCTCCAATACTCATGGGCAAGCTTCTTACGACAATGGACATAAATAAGAAATCAATAGCAAGTTATGGACAGGAGTCTGTGACAATCGAATTAATGAGATCCAATCCCCATATAAATGGGTTCACCAGGTTGTGTCTGTACTCAAAATTGACCTAAGTTATGGGTTCTAGAAAGCTTATAGTCTAACCCAAACCCAAACAGGCCGGCTTTGAATTTCATCAAAACCCTGTCTAGACTCATACCCAACGTCAAACCTGCCTGACTGGCAGATTTTCATCTCCATCTTCTTATAACATTTCTTCTAACTAATTATTTCGCTCTTTCTCGTGCATAATAGACTAATAGTAGAATAGGTTTAAGGACTTCAAAGTCCCTTACAAAAATTGAAGGTTGAACCATCATCCCCTTATGCTACCTGCTAATGTCCCCAAAAGTCCAAAACAATGTGGCACCAAAGTTTTGATGTTTGAGCGTGAAATCCCTCCATGATCCCAACACAGATAAGTTTCCATTGAATTTTTGTTTGTAAAAGGAAAACTTGTGGATAATAAGATGTCAGAGAGAGATACCGACTGCCATAGTAAACTTCAAGTCCTTACGTGATCAATCATATTTGCACTCTCTAAGAGATCAGGATGGTTACAATTTTTTTTTAAGTTGAATTACCAAATTGTTCAACTTCCCTTTCACGCAAGTTTCAGAGGTACACATCGTACAAACCAAACATCAGTATGAACAGCTCAACTGCCATACACACAACTGTATATGCACATTTCTCCTACTTCTAAACCATCTAGAAAAACTTAAGCTGCCCTTTAAAAAGAAAAAGGTCGATCTAACCAGCTATACTTTGTGTAGATGTTATGTATCACGTCAGTCACGAAAGCAGATGTAGAGAAGAATCTTTGACAAAAGAAATGATTGACCACCAAAAAGGAAAAAATACAGAATCATTCTGTCAACATAATGCTTGAGGGCTATTTCTTAAACCATTATACATAACAGACGTGATACATAACATCTGCACAAAGTAATACCTCAACCCTTCTCTTAGTGCAAATATTTTCCTGCTCTAAGTCACCGTTGGCCCTCCTCGAAAAATCAAAACTGAAAGAATAAGATGACTGTCAGCATCAAAATAGGACAGCAAGCTAAAAAAAAGCCAAATGGAGATTTTAAAGACTGACAAAATAATCACTTTCCTGAGACATCTTTTAGAGACTTAGGATAACATTTTCAAGAGGTACGCTCGTATAAATAAAGACAATCAGTACAATATGAACAAGAGGAGAAAAAGATTAGGGAATAATAAAACTAAAAGACAGGTATACTTTGTGAGGACAGATTAGCTGTCACTAGCTATGATATCTCTAAATTATAATTTACAAAAATGCTTGAAGGATTAGGAAGACATGATAATTTCAGAGAACAAAAGTGCACATAAATCATTACTAGAACCAATAGCAACAAGTGTGCCACATAGTTTCAAAGATATCAGCTATAGAAAAATTACGTAAAGTAAAGAAAGATGCTTAAAAAGTTGGAACACATTTGTTCTAAGAGAAGTAACAGATAGTATTAACAATATATGACTTTCCGAAAGGAAAAAAAAAGAGATGGTCCTATTAACTTAGACAAATTAGTTCCTAAAGAAGCAAGTCAACCAATAGCTTGTGGGTTCGATGCATGCTCGAATATTTGCTATTTATGTCCATCTACTCAATAGAAAGGTGAAAATGTTTGATGGTTCAGTTGGAAAAAGTTTTGTTTCATTTAATAGTTTAAAAGCACTATTGTGATAATCGTAACCCCAGCAGGCAGCAAAATTTTCTCCAAAGGATAAAATAACTGATAGCTGACTTTTTGTCGGCAGTACATACTTTAGAAGATTCAAACTAAACACTGGTCGACAAAATGCCAAGAAAAATGAAGTTCAACAATGACCAAAGCTCAGCCAAATTGTACTTACATCAGGGTCAGTCAAAAGAAGGTTATTTTCCATTGGTAAGCGTTTTAATTCCCTTACTAAGAGGGTGCAAATTTCAAGCGAAGGCCCTAAAAAAAAGGGGGACAATGAGAGAAGAAAAACTGGAAGAACTAAATATCTCAGTAAATATAGAGAAAATTGATAGGGTAGAGCTTTTACCTCATCCACTAGAACATACTTGCTTAGTTCTATGATTAGCGTACACATGAACTTTTTTCTTGTCTTTGTGCTTTCTTCCTCAGTTCTATGATATGTGATAGTACACATGGAGAGAACAAAACTAATGCAAAGCTTCCCAATGTTAGAACACTGTATATGCTTGTAAACAAAAGACAAGTTCACTAAATAGTTTTACCTTTAGAAAGCATTAAACCAGTTGGAGAGAGTAGAAAGTAGAGCTATAATCATATTCTATTTCCATAAAGATCCTGGAGCTGGCATGTACTGTTGGAACCTTCAAAGCTGGTTCTCCAGACACCTTCGAGTACACCTGTGAGTGAGAGAAGTAAAATTTAGCAATTCACCATTTTCTGCAGGTTTTCTTTACTGTAACTTCATCGTAAGGATTTCTGAAGATCAGGCCAGTGGCACAAACAGGATTTTCCTGACAGATAAAGCCAATTTGATGTTAGCTTGGAATTACCAAACATCTAGACTAGAAGCATGTAAAAGATATCACCCCGTGAGTAGTAATATACAATCATCAAAGAACGGGTCAAATGGCATCATTGATATACAAGGAAAAAAGTTATTTGGGATTGCCCTCCATCAACGAGTTTTGAAGGCACCCAACGCAACAGCTTCTGTGTGCACACCATATTATCATTAATATGGGCACAAATAAGTAAGGTAAATTTTCCGTGGAACAAGGGGTACTTACATTAATCAATGCCAGGAATAAAGTCCGCCCTTGGTCCAATCCAGTCGAATGGTCTCTGATACTGCACGCATGACCATCTCTGTCAACATAGCTGCGATGACAGTCCTCACTTTTCTCTAAACAAACAAACATATGCACCTGAAAATATGCCTACAGTAGATTAACTTTTCAATAATCTGACTTGAACATGCATATACCTCATCCACTAGAACATACTTGCTTAGTTCTATGATTAGCGTACACATGAACTTTTTTCTTGTCTTTGTGCTTTCTTCCTCAGTTCTATGATATGTGATAGTACAATTGGAGAGAACAAACCTAATGCAAAGCTTCCCAATGTTAGAACACTGTATATGCTTGTAAACAAAAGACAAGTTCACTAAATAGTTTTACCTTTAGAAAGCATTAAACCAGTTGGAGAGAGTAGAAAGTAGAGCTATAATCATATTCTATTTCCATAAAGATCCTGGAGCTGGCATGTACTGTTGGAACCTTCAAAGCTGGTTCTCCAGAGACCTTCGAGTACACCTGTGAGTGAGAGAAGTAAAAGTTAGCAATTCAACATTTTCTGCAGGTTTTCTTTACTGTAACTTCATTGTAAGGATTTACGAAGATCTGGCCATTGGCACGAACAGGATTTTCCTGACAGATAAAGGATTTTCCTGACAGAAAAAGCCAATTTGATGTTAGCTTGGAATTACCAAACATCTAGACTAGAAGCATGTAAAAGATATCACCCCGTGAGTAGTAATATACAATCATCAAAGAACGGGTCAAATGGCATCATTGATATACAAGGAAAAAAGTTATTTGGGATTGCCCTCCATCAACGAGTTTTGAAGGCACCCAACGCAACAGCTTCTGTGTGCACACCATATTATCATTAATATGGGCACAAATAAGTAAGGTAAATTTTCCGTGGAACAAGGGGTACTTACATTAATCAATGCCAGGAATAAAGTCCGCCCTTGGTCCAATCCAGTCGAATGGTCTCTGATACTGCACGCATGACCATCTCTGTCAACATAGCTGCGATGACAGTCCTCACTTTTCTCTAAACAAACAAACATATGCACCTGAAAATATGCCTACAGTAGATTAACTTTTCAATAATCTGACTTGAACATGCATACGGACATCTCTGTTTGCATAGCAGCAACGACAGTCATCGCTTTTCTCTAAACAATCAATCACATGCATCTTCGACTTTTAAGTGACATGATGGCAATACGAAGAGCATAGTTAAAGGTATAACATAAATACATATGGAAGTATTCCTATTCGAAAAGACGACAACTGACAATGCTTTATGGATCAGAATGTTGGGCAAACTAAATTGGAAGTATTTCGAAAGAAAACATACAAAAATAAGAGAAAATTTCCCGAAAATATAAGAAAGGAAGAAAATTTGCTCACTCTTCATTCGTCGTTCCTCTTCCCCTTTTCGCAAATTGAATCGGACTCGTTTTCGAACCCTAGATTCGGAAATCAATGCTTCCAACCTTCTATAACCTATCGAAACCCTAACTTTGTCGACAGCGCTTTCAAAGAATTAGAAGCTCCATTCAGCAGAAAATTCATGCTTTGATTAACAAAACTGACAACCTGCAGGAAAAAAAAAACCTAATTTTTAGAAACCCTAAATTTAAGAAGGAGGGAAATCAAAGTAAGATGGAAAAGAATTACCATTTCTCGCGATTTGAATCTGAGGACGAGCGAAAGGCCTCGGTGAGTAATTATAGCGAAGCGTCTCGCTTGAAGCTAACGCAAGTGAAATGTCCGCGTGAAACCAACGCGAGTTAAAATACAGGCTAAATTTCATAAAAACCCCTTACCTTTGGATGATTAACAGAAAACCCCCTTCACTTTGAAATATCGGAAAACCCTTTAGCTTTAGAGGCTATCTGAAAACTCTCCTTAACTTTTAGATTTTATCAGAGAACCCCCTAATTTAAGGAGATTTTCTGATGAAAATCTGAAAGTTAAAAGGATGTTTTGTAATAAAGTCTTAAAGTTAAATGGGAGTTTTGTTATAATCTTGATATATACTTAAGGATTTTGTTTTTGATATTTTGAAAGTTAGGAGTGTTTTCTGATAAGTGTCCAAAGTTAAGGAGGGTTTTCTAATAGTCTAAAATGTATTTTAGAATATGTAGCATTATAGCATGTGCAAATGCGCGTGTCATATATATTAATCATATATTTTTAAATTTTTATATGAAATAAGCAAATTATATTTTAATATATATATTAATGTTTCATCAGTTTTTTAACTTCTATATCACACTCTAAAATAATTAAGTTATATTTTAGAAAAATATAATATTGTAATATAGTTCAAGCGTGAGAATGTAGCTTTCCATTTACTAAATGTCATCCAAAATCATTTTAGAAAATATTTTTTCCCAATAATATAAAAAATTATAAAAATTGTTTAAAAATATTTTTTCCCCAATAATATAAAAAACTATAAAAATTGTTTAAAAATTTTACTATTTAAAATTAACATATTCATTAATTAAAATGATCATGATCATGTTTTTAGTTGATGTTTTTTGCATTAACATGTATTTAATAATCATTTCTAAACATGAACTTATCATTTGATATTTTAATCTATTATAACATATAACTTGATAACAATTTAATTATGTTAGTTCAAAACTTATTTTTTAATTATTTATTAAGAATGTTTTAGAAATAAGAAAATTATGAATATTAATTATTGTGAATTACATCATATTCTCATTCATAATTTATAATTTTCTAGAAATAAGAGAATAAATAAAAGAAAGGGAAAAAAGTCTTTCATGTGAAAAAATCTTGATTAGAAAGAAGGGAGAAAACATATGTTTAATCAAGAAATATAGGTTAACATAATGCAAACTGATCGAGTTATTGTCTCTAGATCTCCTCCTAAAAAATTGTCGGTGGTTTATTCCAAAATATCTAGTCAAGCATATTTACACGTTCAGTACTTTGCACAATTGCACTCGCAACCTTTTGTTTGACTTGTGTATTATCTGAGGAGAGTGAGTTATTTTATATCTCCATGTTTTGTCAAACTCTTATTAATGAAACACGGAGAAGTATTATCTCCCGGTTACTATAAAAAGAAATCTTTATATTGTTCTGCTCGCGGATGGTGGATGTCAATTTCATGATATGATTAAGATCCAAAACAGTTAGAATCCAAAATCCTCTCTTGATTTTTTTCATGAACGAGAAGTCCACAAATTGAACGATCAAACCTATAAAAAGAAATTGTTGTTTAGTCTGCTAATTTATATAACATGCTCCGGGTTAGAGTTGGAGAAGTACAATATTATTGATAAGAAGCACCTTAGCTTATCTAATTATATTCGATTTGGTAGTTTGTGTAATAGTAAACAAGTAAGTTTCGTATATGGTCAATAAATGGATAGGATTCAACCAGATGCATTGATTTGGTGCTGTTATGGTGTTTTCAGTCGCCAAATTATGATCCCTTATCAACAATAGGCAAATATCCCTCATTACGCCTAATTCAGTCAACTCGGCCCTTAGGACTGTCAGGATCATCAACAATAGGCAAATATCCCTCATTACGCCTAATTCAGTCAACTCGGCCCTTAGGACTGTCAGGATCACGATCTAGCCGGCTCACCGATCGGCGTCTCGGAATGGCGGTACTTGTCGGTGCCCTCGTCAAAGACGACTTGTCACAAGCCTACTCAACTGGTTAATTCATCGGCGTCTCACGGGAACCGACTCGAAAGATAGTACTTCTCGACACTCCTCGATACAAGCAAAAAAACGACTTTATCCTCGAAACCCCCGCTAACAGTGCGTTGACATCACATTAAATGCTTGGCAGGCGTCATCATTTCTCCATCTTCGACATAATTTATGGCACATCGGATCACGCCGGCTTCGTACGCCGCATATCTCATCTCATTAATGATTAAGTGACCGCGCCCATTCCGTGACCACTCCACAGCCGACACCTATAAAGACAATACTGACTCAGCCGCCAGCTCAGACTCAGCCGAGAGAGACCAAAATGCCCCTCCTACATGACTATAAAAGGGAAAACTATTCTCAATGCAAAGGTAAGTAATTTTCCTACACTTTTCTCCATTTCACTACCCTTGAACTAATACCGTTCACTATTTTCCCCACTCAAGTACATCGCTAACTTGATCGTCAGAGGAACAACAGGGGAAATAAACCTGCCCTCTTACGAGTTGCTACACCTGCAGGGAAGAATAACCCAACTCAAAACCAGATATTCGGAGAAGTTAGCGGCCTATAATCAACTCAGTTCATATTAATTTACCTGTGTGATTAAGACCATCAACAAGTGCTTAATTACCTTTGTTTGATATGTTGTGATTGTCAGTAAAAGATTAGGTCTCAAATTCCCTCTAATTAGGTGGTAATCGGAGAGAATCCTATTCTCTCGATCATTACCGTCTATCTCAATTCTAATTGATGAGATCACGCCAGCTAAGATTTCCACTATAAAAAATAACGGTTTTGAATGTAGTCGTCGTTTTCAAGTTTACTAGTGATTTTTCAAGACCAATATGATTTTCAAGACAACAATGAAAATCTTATGTAGGGTGATCTCATCCATTAGAAATGATATACAGTGAAAGGATCGAGAGAATTAGATGATTTGTTAATTTAGATACTCTAGAAATCTGAGCAATCTTCTTCTAGTACCCTTAGTTGAGTCCATGATCACAAGTTTATTGTTGTTCATTTTGATCTTGGTTGGAGGTTCATGGATTACCTACAATATAATTAGCCTTTTAAATGCTGTAATAATATGTAGTTTTATGGTCATGAGGAATCTCAGGTTGCAATTGTATAATTTTAATACTGATTTGCTAAGGTTGCGATAAGCACATTTGCTAGCCTTCCAAAGTAGTAGAGCCTTTTAGCAGTCTCTTCAATAGTGGTATAAGAGATTTGTTAATTCCTTTTACAATGGAAGTTAGATAGTTAATGACAACTATTTTTACTTCAAATAAAAAACTTGCACGTGCTATTTTCACATACTCATATCACTATATTAATGACAACTATTTTTACTTCAAATAAAAAACTTGCACGTGCTATTTTCACATACTCATATCACTATATGTTCATTGTAATAAGTTATACACTTTTCAATTAATTGAAACATATTTAAGATATAAATTTGAGGGCCTTGATTCTTGAAGCCATTTCTACTAACAGCACAGTGGAATGTAATATTCACATTTAAATATTATCTGCAGTTCTTCATGATTGGCTAAACAAATTTTATCTCATAAGAATGTAAATGTGTTTTTTAGCAAAATATGGGTAACATACATCTAAACTTAATGGTATTTACCTATCAGGCGACATTATATATTCCGTACGTGTTTATTCAGATCTTCTACCTTGTAACTGATGTATTATGAACATATATATTGTTTTTGTTTCTTTTTCGGGATTTCCTGGATTTTTGGCTATTTCTTTGTAGGCACTCTCTCACTATTACAAAATCTCATTATCCTTCTTTAGATGCAACTCCATCTCACGTGAGTCGCATAGTGCTTTGATATTCAGTGCTTCACATAACTTCCGACATAAATTTGCTATACACGTGGATTTCTACTTCCTTCACAACATTTAACCTTCAACTAACGTAAACTTGCTGGATGCAAACTTAGCAGTACAAAGTACTACAGTTAAGAGTGTTACACCATATACCTACATGTTCTACCTTGAAAATCACCAAAGTTTAATGAGTCCTTAAAAGTTGACCACGTGTCAAATTAACGAGCTAAGTCGCATGACTAAAAGGCCCGACTTAGATATATACCCAGTCCAACCAATGAAGCTGGCCTTTCTAGCAAACCATATCTATAAGGTGAAAAGCGCCTTCAAGTCGCAATCTACAAAAGAAGTCCTAGTTTGAGACGAAATGTGTCTTTTGGTCGGACTCCACTAAGGAACGTCCTAGAGAAGGGAATGATTTGTCAGTTTGGTCAACATTTTTCGTATTAAATGCATGGCCAGTTGGAGCTCATGATCAACCACCTAGTTGCCATCGCATTAAACACATGGTTAGACATCATAATGACTCCTTGGACGTTGCCTGCACTTTCGTCATTCTATCATTATCATAACAAATGTGAGAAGAGCGACCCTTCAAATCCATCCAACCGGTTGCTTATATTATGTCCGATTACATGAGAACTAGAACAGAGAAGCTGAATATGTTTTGATTTATCATTCTAAACATGGAGACACTTTAAAGTTTGTACTGAGCAGACATCTGAGTTAGAACTATATTTCATGCGAGTTTAATTGCTTCTCTAAAGAATATCACTGCTTCCATTTAGCATTTTTTTTTTCCATTCGCTAACTTTACTGGAACCATTTAATTTTCAGACTCATTTCCCCATAATTCCTCGCAAAGCAGGGATAATTTGTGGCCTTCAGAGGTAAGAGACTCCTCAATCTCTTTAAATATTCCATGCTCCAGTTAACTAACAACCGAACGCATCCTGTAATTTCAAAGAATTCAAGAAGATGACCTCTAACTTACAACAAGAATATATTTATTCTTTCGGATTGCATCAAATTAAGAACAGCTTTTTGGTTATCCATCTGATGAGCTGCAAGAACTGTTTAATCGGCTCATGAGCTGCTCTTGGATTTAGATCTCCAAAACATAAAGCAACAAAAGACAAATAACATGAAGAGATCGAGTCTCGTTTCTTTTGCATTTACCCTCTTAT